AGGAGAAGGAGGCGGAGGAGGAGGAGAAGGAGGAGGAGGAGGAGGAGGAGGAGGAGGAGGAGAGGAGACGAGACGAGCCCATGTAATCCACAACTGTCTGAACGATCAAACAGCTTTACACAGGATTCTGGGAGTGGGTAACTTCGACCCTCACGAAGATTATGACTTGAAAAACCTGCAGCTCACGCTCCTCAGCTGAGGCACTGGCCTGTCGGCACCTCTGAGGCACGCAACCCCGCACGAGGGCCGACTCGAAAGGCGCAGGAGTCAGCCAAGCGGAGATCGTTATCCCTGCTGCTGGCTCTCGCTGGTCGGTGCCTCCCCCTTCCCACGCCCACGACTCGTCGCCCTCCCCCTCCCACGGCCAGAGCCTCTACGAGGCAATACTACAGTCGGGATGCTAGGGAGCTCGGCCTGCACATATGACTGTATAATTCGCTCCCCTGACATCGCTTGTGCTGCTACCGCTGGATCCACTAAACCTTTCTGCGCCAGTGAAGCCAGCCTCTCACTACCTTGCCACGGAGGAGTAGAAGGGAGGCATGAGGAGGAGGAGGAGTAGAAGGGAGGCATGAGGAGGAGGAGGAGGAGGAGGAGGAGGAGGAGGAGGAGGAGGAGGAGGAGGAGGAGGAGGAGAGGAGGAGGAGGAGGAGGAGGAGGAGGAGGAGGAGGAGGAGGAGGAGGAGAGGAGGAGGGAGGAGGAGGAGGAGGGAGGAGGAGGAGGAGCAGGAGGAGGAGGAGGAGGAGGAGGAGGAGGAGGAGGAGGAGGAGGAGGAGGGAGGCAGGAGGAGCAGGAGGAGGAGGAGGAGGAGGAGGAGGTGGAAGAGCCCGGGTCGGCTAGAGAAGACTGGCGGACCTCCATGACGTGAGCTGTGCCCGCCTGGCGGCCTTCTTGCCTCCGGGGCGCACCGCTCCGCGGGGGGCCCCTCGGCGGGCTTCCCCAGGTGTGAAGCCCGCCGCGGCGGCCCGCGGCGGCCCGTGGCGAGCCCTCGGAGGCCCTCGGCGGCCCGCGGAGTCGCCAGTGGCCTGAGCTTGGCCTCGGAGGCCCTCGGAGGCTCTCGGCGGCCCGCGGGGGGCCGCGGAGGCGCCCGTGGCCCGAGCTTGGCAGCGCGCAGGGGGGGGGGGGGGGGCGGGGCAGGGCCTTCTGGGGAGGCGCTCTGCCGAAATTTTCCGGGCGAGCCCAGCAACAACAGGAACAAGGAGCAGCAGCACCACCACCAGTGGGAGGAGGCCGGGGGGGGTCCCTCTGGTGGTGTGGTCCCCCCCTCTCGCTCGAAAAAGTCCCCGATCCCCAGCTCGGAGAGGCATCGTGGACCTCTCCTCTGGAGGTGCCCCCCCTGGTGGTGGTGGTGGTGTCGCTCCTCCTTCCTCCCCAAAAGAAAAACAAGGAGAACTCTCCAGACCCGATCCCTTCCTATGCTTGCGCGCACAAGGGGGTAGGGGAGGGGGAAAGCTCCTTAGAAGGAACCTGCTTCTTAGAAGGCGCCGGCCCATCATCTACAGAGAAGGCACGCACCTTCTGAGAAGCAACCTCCTTCTATGAAGCCTTTCCACCTCTCCCTACCCCCCCCCCTTTCGCGCGTGGCCGAACTCTGGCGTCTCCTGTCAGCTCTGGCCTCGAGGGGTGGGGTGGGCCCCAGGGCCATCGAGCACTGGTCCAGGACGAGCGACTGCCCACCTGGGGAAGGAGCCGGGACCTCCACGGCCGCGGATGAAGGACACAATCCATCAGAGGTCTGGGTCACCCATCTCTCGATCCTCCCTTGCGCCTCCAAGCCGTCCAGCATCGTGCCGGCGACTGACTTTCTCCTTGATCCGCTTCACCCGTGGGCCACTTCGGTATCGACTCGTGGTGTGGAGCCGAAGTAGGAACGGGCACAGTTTCTTCCCCTCGGGCTCCTGAAGGGGAGCGGCCTTCTTAGAAGGCCGCACCCCCCCCTCCCTCCCCTCCTCCCCTGCCCTACCATGCCCTCTCTTACGCGCCGCAGACGGCCGCATCACCTTCTGAGTGCTCACTGGGGCCTGGGGGCAATCAGGTGGCGCACACCTTTGCGGGGCGTCTATGTTAGCACACAGTTTTCATGGACACATTTTTTTTGTCTTGCCCTACGACGCGAGATGCACCCACCTCCCTTGAAGAGCGCGACCAGCGGGCGCAACAGGCGCATCGAGCACTATGAAAAGGGTCTCCCTGCGACAGGTGGGCGTTCACGCAGCCGTTCCGCGTTGAGACAAGGTAGCGCTTTGAACGGAGCTCGGCCGATCAAGGGCTTGTTGGAACTTCTGATGTTGAGTCTGGGGCCGTAAGGGGTGAAACAAAAACGCCATCACGCACGTAATCACGCATCCAGTGAGAAGTCGCCAGCGAACTCGCATCAGGGGCCTCGGCATTGCAGTTTCTTGTTTTTACACGACTGGCCCCGCATTCGGACTCCTGGATTACAAGCCTACTGAAGACCACGGAGGCTACAAAGATCCCTGGTGATCCTGAGCTGAATCCTTGATGCTGAACATTCTGGAGCAAGCTGGCCGGACATGTGTGTATGCAGAAACGTACTTGCATATACACCAACATGCACATTGTAATGTAAATCTACGTATTGAATATGTATGTATGCCTATGTCTAGGTATTCACACGTATATCGGTACACTCATAGCAGCACGATGCCACTCCACTTTGTGACCACATTTCGGTTATCTCAATATGGGTATGACGAATCGGACGGCGGCACGTGGGTCTAGATCACCTCGGCCCTGGTCATGTTTACGACGGGCGATCGCGACAACGATGCAATCAAGAAAGCTACGATGCCGAGCTGCCCACTGCCGATCGCATGGCTCTCGAAACTGATCCACAATTTCTTGCCCGTCTTGCCGGCACACTTCGCAGGCTTCGTCCAATAAGGTTCGTGCCTGTGAGAAAATCGTTATCGAGCCTCCGCCGCCAGCTTCTGGATGTCCAGCTCCAGCACTTGTGGCGCCTTCGGCTGGATCTTCGTAAATGCCTCTGCTGACAAGGTGTCCTGCTCCGCTGTCGCTGGCGGGCTGGCCAAGTTCGGTAAAGTGGGAACCTCGGGAAGAGAACGTCCATTTCGCCCATGTGCTCTTATGCAAAATCCTGGTCGTGGCGATCTTCGTTGATCGCATCGTCACCTGGCAGCCCGTCCGTGTTGCCTGTCGGCTCGTCGAAGTCGCTTGGCGGAGCTGGAGAAGCGCAGCC